TAACCCCGGTTTAACCCCCAGTATAACCCGACTATAAACCCAGTATAGCCCGAGTATAACCCCGGTTTAACCCAAGTACAACCCGGTTTAACCCTAGTATAACCCCGGTTTAACCCCAGTACAACCCGAATATAACCCCAGTATAACCCGACTAACCTGAGTATAACCCCGGTTTAACCCGAGTACAACCCGAGTACAACCCATGTACAATCCGAGTATAAACCCAGTGCAACCCGAGTACAACCCCGGTTTAACCCGAGTAGAACCCGGTTTAACCCCAGTGTAAACCCAGTACAACCCCGGTTTAACCTCAGTGTAACCCCAGTATAACCTTGGTTTAACCCCAGTGTAAACCGTGTATAATCTCAGTAAAACCCTGATTTAACCCCAGTGTAAATCCAGTATAACCCCGGTTTAACCCCAGTATAACCATAGCTTAACCCCCACCTCTGAGTCCAGGCGGAGCCCAGCTGTTTGTCCAGCGTATCCAGGAAGAGGGTGATAGCCTTGTGCACCTCGTTCATGCCGATCCAGCGCAGCACCTCCTCCAGGAAGGACAGCGTGAACGGGTGGTTGTGTCTCCGCCAGCTGTAGCTCCTCATCGGGATGCCACCTGGTGGAAGAAGGAGGTAGGTGGAGTCTCATGAAAGAGTTAAACAAATTGGAGTTGAGTTCCTGTGTGTTTGTCTTACTGTGGATCCTCCAGAGGATGTAGAGGGGGGGCCACTGGTCTGTGTCGGGGGTCAAGGTGTCCCAGAGGAGCCGAACTCTCACAGCCGAGTTCTCCGACTGGGAAACGAGGACACAAACAGTTTGTTGTCTTTAATGTCACCTTTATTTTATTCAAACCAGGATTTCTGTTTCGACTATTTGGTCAGTCTATTAAAATATCAAATTGCCATTTAACAACTTTGATTTTAAATTAATTGCAAATATTTGTTTGTATTTTAAATTGTGATTTAAACTTCTGTAGGTCTGCAGCTTTTTGAATGTTTTGAGACTCTTGGAGCAGGTTTGTGTTGTGAAAACTCTGACTGGCTGTTGGTCCAGTACCAAAGTGAAAGTGAACTGTCCTCTATGGACCGTCACATCAGACTCCGTGCTACCTGTAAGAACTGGCTGACCAGTGGCGAGGCCCTGACCAGCTGCAGCAGATTACTGGGCAGACCGAGGCGCTGGAAATACCACACCAGGTTCCAGAAGATGATGGAGTGGTTTTCCAGGAACTGAGGCTGGGCCAGGACCGCCTCGCCCTCGTTCTCTAGCAGACTCTCCAGCTCCTTCCTCAGGACCAGAGGGCTCAGGTAGGCCACCGTCACCTGGGGGGCTCCGCCCACAGAGGAAGCCTGAGGGGGAGTTAGAGAACGCCATCGTAACGGGAAGTATGGCAGACGAGAGGATGAAGAGACACATTTAAAGTGCATGTTACCGTGGTGGTTCTGCTGTTCTCTGAGTAGCTGCTGGTCTCAGAGCTGGAGTCTTCACTCACACCGTTACACTGGTTTCGCAGAGAGGCCTCCTGACCACCGGGGGGCCTCACAGCGCCCTCCACCTCATCCTCCACGTTCCAGTTGGTGCGCTCCGCACTCAGAGAAGAGGACAAGGAGGAAGACTTAAGATGGAGTGACGTTAGCTGAGATCGTAGCTGGTGGAGCTACAAATGTAGGACATTCAGTTTAGTCCCCATCACAGAACCAGGATCTGGAGAAACCTCTTCTGAGATCTGAAACCAACTCAATCATTACATTACATTACAGTCATTTAGCTTTTATCCAAAGCGACTTACAATTCAGATTCTGTCACTTACACCGTAGGCATAGCTACGGGAGCAATTTTTTGGGGGTTAAGTGTCTTGCTCAAGGACACGTGACTAGCACAGCCGAAGCCGGGGATCGAACTACTCTCCACTTAGCCACAGTCGCCCCAACCAACAATCCTCTCTCTGGACAATCGAATGACTCACTTCAGACCATCATAACATCTAGTCTGCAAGGTTTCTGGACCATGACCGGTTTTATTTAACTACTACTACTATTACTACTACTAACTAGTCCATACCTGCCGACAGGTCCCAGGTCACAGACCTCAGCGTTCAGGAAGGGGACGAAGGACGAGCAGCAGAACGGACAGGACGAGTTCAGGTTGGAGTCGTCCGAAGTCCAGCCGGCCATGATCTCCTCGTCGTAGACCAACGAGTTACAGCTGCGACACAGGGAGCAGCTGGACATCAACACCTGGACACAGAGGAGGAAGTATTCACATCCTGTACTGCAGTAAAAGTCCTGATAAAGGGCGTAATACTCGTCCAATCATCATCACAGCATTTGATTTATATTCTAAAACTGTGAAGTAAAGAGTAAAATAGCAGTAATAGTGTAAAGTAGCTCCACTGGAAACAACAAATCTATTCAGGACCTAATAAAACCTCAACTGCCGCCGATTCATTTCCTGACAAGGAACAGGTTACCTCGAGGCCCGTCCCCTCTTGGTTGGCATCCCAGGACCGGCGTATGGGAAAGGCTGGATAGGGCGTGTCCGTCAAGTCCAGGTCACTTCCTACGGACAACGAACTCTGAGAGGAGAGGACACGGTCTGAGATTATCTGTCTACATATCATCATCATGAGACTCTAGTGGACATTAACTGCCTACATATCACCACCATGAAACTCTAGTGGACAATAACTGTCTACATATCACCACCGTGAAACTCTAGTGGACAATAACTGTCTACATATCACCACCGTGAAACTCTAGTGGACAATAACTGTCTACATATCACCACCATGAAACTCTAGTGGACATTAACTGCCTACATATCACCACCGTGAGACTCTAGTGGACATTAACTGTCTACATATCACCACCGTGAAACTCTAGTGGACAATAACTGTCAAATATCACCACCATGAGACTCTAGTGGACATTAACTGTCTACATATCACCACCATGAGACTCTATTGGACATTAACTGTCTACATATCACCACCATGAGACTCTAGTGGACAACATTCACTTTAACAAAGTTCAGAGGTCACATGACAATCACAGTTCTTCTACGGTGCTTCCAGAGACGTCACGCATCATCAATTCTAACTCAAATTGTGACACGAAGAATTGAAATGAACTTGAATTGTTTCTAACAAACATATAAATCTGTTTGTCACAGTTGACGCTGAATGAGAGTAAAGAAACACGTAGCAGTCAAACCTCTGAGGTGGCGCTGACGAGCCTCTCTTTGGCTTTCAGCAGAGTTTCAGCCACTTGAGCCTTCCTGGACTGCCTCTGTTCAGAGACTCTTCGTCCTATCCCACTTCCTCCTCCTCTTCCTCTCCGGTCGTCTACGCTAGCTGCTCTTCTAACAGACATTCTGTGTCTCGTTGGAGTCAGAAGCTGCTGGAGTTTCCCAGCCAGACTTCCTCGGCTCGGGGTCGAGACGTTGTTGGAGTTCTCGTCTACGACTTTATTTCTGCCGGCAGAGTCTTTCGTCCCTGCAAGTCTACAGGTGAAGGTCACAGAAGTAAAACAGGACGTGGTTAAATCAAAGCACATTAAGAAAGATTTAAGAGCCTTCAAACATCTCAAAGTGACATCAAAGACAGAGAAGTTAGTAATCCAAGGATAGAAATACAACTGAAAGAAATCACAAAGTTAACTAAAGTTATTTTCTGTTCTTGCCGACCTGCCGTCTCTCTCCGCCGGCTGGCAGCTGCAGTCCGGCTCTGAGTCGGCCGACTCAGCACATTCTTTGTAGAAGGTGGAGAGGCAGACCTCACTCCTTCGGACCAGGAGGCCACCGGGGGGCACCGCAGGGGGGCGTCCCATAGGAGGCTTACAGGAGATGGACTCGCTGCAGCCGTTAGTCGCTGAGTCACGGAGGACGCGCTTCTTACAGAGTGTCACCTCTGTGGGAGGAGTTAAGAATGACTCAGCACTTTATTTAACATGGAAACGGGAGACAAACAGCTGACGAGGAGGAACTCAGTGTAAAATGACTGTTTGAATACGCAGAGGATTCATTATCTTGTTCAGTGTGGCTTTGTAGCACAAAGGCAGTAAAACTGCCTGTGCCAAAGCACACTGACTGTAATCCTGCGGGCATAATAATAATAATAACTAGAAAATTCCTTAAGAAATTTTGACAGTGTGGCTTCTACTACCCGAAGAAATCGCAATATATACACACGCCAATGTTACCGGTAGTGTCATTCAGGTTCAATTGAGATAGCGCTACTCTCTTTTCTGCATTTTAGATTCATACTCTTGGATTGAATCTTGTATTTGTGGGGCTTTTATTTTGAAAGGGTGGGACTGGTGGGGGAGAGGAGACAGAATCATAATGTTTGACACTAAAATGAGAGGCTTCATCACAAGCATTCCAGTTAGAATTCATTCTGTGGGGCTTTTAATTTGAAATGGGGGGAGGGGGGGGTGAGAGGGGAAAAGTCCTCGAAAAATATCTAAGACCTGAATGACTGTATGATAGAGAGAGACAGAGAGGGAGAGAGAGACAGACAGAAAAATAGACAGAGAGGAAAGAGAGACTGAGTGAGACAGGCAGACAGACAGTTATAGGCTTTTATTTTAAAATGGTGGGGAGTCCTCTAAAAGTCTCCAAGACCTGAATGACTGTATGAGAGAGAGACACACACACAGAGAGAGAGAGAGACACACAGAGAGAGAGAGAGGGAGAGGAGTGTGTGTGCGTGTGTGTCTCAGTGCCTCTGTGTGTTTATCAAAATCACTAATGAGCTCATATAAACACCTGTGTGCTTGGGTGCATGTTGGTGATTGGAGCACCTGTGTTACAGGCTACTTAAGAGAGAGAGTAACCAGTGATTTCCAACAAAACTACCTGTCAAACATATGCCCTCTATACCAAAACCATGAGACTAATCAATAAAATATGGATACCGTGAGAAAGATAAGACTCTGGCAAACGCGGAGATGTGTTTTTTATGTTTGTGGTGTTAAAAATGTGAGCTCAAGCGCAATATGCAAAACTGGTACCGTCTGCTTTCTTTGAGAAATGAGTGGTCAGATTTAACATGGAGTCTAATGGAGCAGTTGGTTGGAGTTCATGTTGCTCTGTGGCTCTTTGAGCCAAATGTGTAAATCTGTGGGATTCCACAGACATCTGTGTGCGACAGCACAACATTTCCAAGCTTTTTGGCCAAAAATGGTGTATAAAGAGTAAACATTGTGGGAGCTGGAGTAATTTGTTTGGAATAATCACAGAATATTTTCCTGCTCCGCTCCACTCCGACGGTTATGCTCTCACTCTAGCTCTTAACGAGCCGTGCAATACACACCCATTATAAAATCTGAAACAGACCCAAAATTTTCCTGAAACTGAATCTGTGACTTCATGAAAACTGTGCTAGCTATCAAAATGTCCATTTGGCTCAATAAAGTGCAGCGTTTTGTCTACGTTTTAAACTTTGAATCATGTTTCTACGTTAATGTATGGCTCGTCAATATGGGCCCAAAGTTAAGTGTTTTTTTAGCTCTCTTCACGCCGCAACCCCGCACTTACACATTTGGCTCAAAGAGCCGCAGAGCGACATGAACTCCAACCAACTGCTCTATTAGACTCCATGTTAAATCTCACCACTAATTTCTCAAAGACAGCAGACGGTACCAGTTTTGTCTATTGCTCTGGAGCTCACATTTTTAACACCACAAACATAAAAAACACATCACCACGTTTGCCAGAGTCTTATCTTTCTCACGGTATCCATATTTTGGCACTCAGACTCCTGCTAATTTGTTAAAAAGAGGCACGGGTTTTGTTCAAAATCACTGTTTACTGTAATGTTCCTTAATCAGTCTGCCTCTAACACCAGGTGCATCCTCGTCATGGCAACCAGTTACACACGCACGCAGGCTCTCTCTCTCGCTGTCTCTCTCTCTCTCACCCAGTCTCACCCTTTCAAAATAAAAGCCCCACAAATACAAGATTCAATCCAAGAGTATGAATCTAAAATGCAGAAAAAAGAGTAGTGCTATCTCAATTGAACCTGAATGACACTACCGGTAACGTTGGCGTGTGTATACAGTGGGTACGGAAAGTATTCAGACCCCTTTAAATTTTTCACTCTTTGTTTCATTGCAGCCATTTGCTAAAATCAAAAAAGTTAATTTTATTTCTCATTAATGTACACTCAGCACCCCATCTTGACAGAAAAAAACAGAAATGTAGAAATTTTTGCAAATTTATTAAAAAAGAAACTGAAATATCACATGGTTATAAGTATTCAGACCCTTTGCTGTGACACTCATATTTAACTCACATGCTGTCCATTTCTTCTGATCCTCCTTGAGATGGTTCTACTCCTTCATTGGAGTCCAGCTGTGTTTAATTAAACTGATTGGACTTGATTAGGAAAGGCACACACCTGTCTATATAAGACCTTACAGCTCACAGTGCATGTCAGAGCAAATGAGAATCATGAGGTCGAAGGAACTGCCCAAGGAGCTCAGAGACAGAATTGTGGCAAGGCACAGATCTGGCCAAGGTTACAAAAGAATTTCTGCAGCACTCAAGGTTCCTAAGAGCACAGTGGCCTCCATAATCCTTAAATGGAAGAAGTTTGGGACGACCAGAATTCTTCCTAGACCTGGCCGTCCAGCCAAACTGAGCAATCGCGGAAGAAGAGCCTTGGTGAGAGAGATAAAGAAGAACCCAAAGATCACTGTGGCTGAGCTCCAGAGATGCAGT